ATGGTTAGAGATTTTGTCATGTACAGATTTTTAACCTTAAACACATACAAAAAGATTGTTTTACTTTTATATATAACAACAGCAGTGATGATGTCATCAACCAAACATAACACGATTGTTGACTGAACATTCTCGTCCGGACTATTCCAAATTTCATCATCTATCCCTGTTTTCTTCAGTTTCCTAGACATTGACACCCATACATCTAGATGTTTCAGTTGTGTTTGTATCTTAATCAGCCATATGTCGAAACTATCCACCCAGCCTTTTAACATTCATGTTGATAAAAAAGCCATCATTTGATCTCGGAAATCCAAATAAAACCAATGGTCACATGTACGATACTACTTGTTATGATGGAGCAAATAATAAAAGTTTCGATAAAGTAAATGAACACACAGGTTCATTTATGTGATATGTATTAGCTCGTCCATGAGTAAGAGTGACCAGTTTGACTATTTTGAGTAGAGTACATATTACATAAGTGTCATATATTATCTTGTTGAACTGCATAGACATAATCACCCCCTCCAACCCCCTAATCATCTCTCCAAAACTCGTTCTACCATTCTGAAGAAAAGTCACATCGGTTTAAATTATCTAAAATCCATACAATGGCTTCTTCCAATCAGGGGCGGACCCACTCTTTCTTAAGCCTTGTAAGTTGACAAACCTTACTTATTAAGTTGGACCAAACTAAGCTGTAAAAATTATATTGTTTTTGGTAGTATTTGCACCCTCTCTAGTTTGACAACTCTTACAATTAGTTCGAATCAATTTTTCCATTAAAGCCACAATCTAATTATTGTTGAAAGAATACAAAGCAAAATATGTAAGCATCCAAAAGTAATTCATTAGCCTATTAATCTTAACAATTGATGGGGTATATTTCTCATGAGCTATGGACCCTAGATTTGTGAAGAATCAATGAGCAGCTAGGCAAATGATGGAGACATGAAATGATAATTATTATTATTCTTTCGTATATTGCTTCTGACTTTAGTGTTGATTTTGTTTATTGCAACTACAAGTGTTGAGATGACCTTTTCAGTTGAAATTCATCAATAATGATCTTCAAAATCGGATGGAGGATCAATTTATGAATGATTGTGTAGTTATTTTCATTGAAAAATGTGTGAGCCGCAACATAAATGATGAATGTGCTATAGAAATTTCTCAAAATATGAAACACGTCGGGGTTCAATGTGAAAAACAATAAATCGATGTATTGATGAATTAAAAATTTTGATAAATTTATTTAATTATTTTTAGATTTATTTTTATTTTTTGGTGAAAACCCTTAATTAAATTTCTGGATCCGCCGCTGCTTCCAGTCCAGTGTGGTATATGATATGTAGTTGTCTTGGTTGCTGAGTTTCAGTATACTCATCAAGTGACTCGCTGCTTGTGCTTATGAGGAGTTGGATGACCAATTTTAGGTCAAGTTGTTGGCTTTATGGGATGCGGTTGTATGGTGTGTGAGTCAGGTATATGTTGCCGGTGTCATTTGCAAGTGATGCCACAGTGGTATTGTAGAAAGTTCGTGACCGGCTAACGGTAGATTTTTTGGCTATGATAATAATAGAGTTGTCCATTTGTTGGCGATAAAGAACCGGATTCGAAGTTTGTTCTTAGTTTCATTCGTTTATCTAAACACTTTATATCTCATTCTACTCGTTTCTAGGGGCATCTAATGCGAAAAAGAATAGAAAATAAAGAAAAGATATAACAAATCAAAATCTTACCAATCCAAAATTGTGTACCGACGATATGGATGTGTGGGTTTCGTTTCATTATGTTACACGTAAGCTAATTGAAGGTTGTAAATGAATTAGTATTATGAACACAAGTGACATCTAAATGTTAAAAATTTTAGATAGTAAAATGTCATTATGAAAAATTTAGGTTTCAAAATGTAATGTTGAAGAATATTTTCATTTAAAAAATGAAATTTAGGTACCAAGTTGTTAAATATAAAAAAAACACATTAAAGTATAATATTCCAATAATCCATGAATCCAATACATAAATCCATAAATTCAATTGAATTTGAATTTTTCGATAAAAAAAGATTTAGATTAAATGATCTAAATTTAAATGGATTAAATTAGTTAAAATTTTTAATGAATGACTTGGATTCAATTGTAACCTCATGAGCTCAATCATCGTGCAATTGGTTGTTCTACTAGACTAATCTGCGCCCAATATCGAGCAACAAAACAGTGGGCGTATAGTTCCCCGCCAGGCCGCCCGCCACACACTCTCTCTCTAAGCTGGTTAGTCGGTCATTGGTTCATTGCCCTCCCTGAAGTAGCGGACCAACGATGCCGCCGACGACCGAGCCTTCTCCCGACCATGCTTCCACTGGCTCCGGCGATAAAGACTCCGAACCCGTTCACGATAGCAGCTCTCGAGCTCTTGTTCCTGCTCCCAAAGTCTATAGCCATCGGTAGTGATTTTCCACTTGGCAATTATTAGTTTTCTCTCTGGCATCTTACTCTTGGGAAGAACTGAAATCAGTGATTTGTAGTTGAAGAATCAGTAAGGGATTCCTGAAATTGAGGTTTGATAACCATTAGGCGTCACCATTACCTCCTTCTCCTTGTTCTCCATTGGCACAAACTCGTCTTCTATGTAGGGCAACCTTCTACCAGAGAGTACTGCTGTTTTATACCATCATTTATTTGGTGGATGAATCTGGCTTGCGGAAACCTCACACGCATAAAAACTGTTCCTGACTTCCTGTGCTAATTAATTGAATTTTTACTCTTTGTTTTCAGCGAGGAGGAACCTGGGCCTGAGACTCCTGACAAAGAAGCTGGAGCTTTTCTGGAACTTATTGCATCCACTGGGAAATTCTGGTATTCTCTCGCACTTGGTAATATAGCTTTTGTACAGTGTTTTCCTTACAGATACCCAGTTGCAAAATCTTGCCCTTATTTTCCTAGTAATAGTTGAACAGTTGGCTACCTTAACATGGATTTTGATGCATGATTGAAAGTTGGCTACCTTTTCTTGACCCGTTGTAGTAGTTTTGAGGGGAAACCAGTGTTGAGTGGTACTGTATCTCGTGTTCTCGCAGGCACAACTGGGATGACTTGAAGATTATGCTATCCTCTAAGCTGAAGCAGGTATGTGGAGGTATGCAAACTTGTTTCAACTTTTCATATTTTTAGTTAAGCGCTTGTCCAATGGTGGGTTAAATCATTCCACTGCTGATATTTTTAAGTAGCTTTGGTTTTCTTATGGTGACCACTCCCCTTCATGAAGGTTTTGTCCGAGTATCCTGAGGTGAAAATGACCAGTGAGGAGCAGAAAGCTTCGTTAGGAGAAACCTACCCCGAGCTGATGAAAAGGCTGGATGATGGTATGCTTCTGCACCTCCATTTCCTTTGCTTGCCTTTGTTGTTTGAGTTGGCTGTCTCTTTTCTATCTGCTCGTGACCTGTAGTTTAGGAAACTGGTCTTGAAGGTGATGGCAGGCCATCTTGCCCTCGGGTAATAATATGGAATCAGGTGCTGACATATGATTGAGTTTGGGCTTAGGCTGGGAGAGGCCATTATAACCATGATGTCCTTGTAAAGATGATAATGAAACCGTTAATGTAATCATGATAACTCCATCAGACGTGAAAAAAGAGAATTGTTTTACCTCCTTGGGATTTTGGGGATGTGGTGTGGGATGTGGGATATGATGAAGCTGTGACTTGACTTGAGCTTGGCTGAAAAACTGGTCAGGGATTTTATACGATAGACTACGCGCTGATAGTAATTTATGCTGCTGCTCCATTTTATTGTCCATTCTCAACCATTTCTTAACAACAACGCATTTTGCTTCATTGTGCAGCTCTTCTTAGTTTTGATGAAGGTCCGCCCTTTACCCTGCAAAGGCTGTGTGAGGTGATTCCATCTCTAGATTCCCTTTGGCCCTACGTATTCAGTAATTGATGTGAAGATATGGTTGCTATCTAGTTGCATCTGTTGTTGAATGTCAGCTAGCGCATTGTATGTAGCCAGTCTGGTCTTAGTGGAGTAGTTGTGTAAGTTCTGTGAGAAGCAGGGTGATTCCTTTTCTGAGATAATTATATAGAAACCGAGGTGGGTTTTTTCTTTCTTTCTGCCATTGAAAACTTGTCAAATGCTGATACTTAGGCAGACCTGCGTGCACATTCTCTATCTCTTTGTCAATTTTACTGATATAGGGTGTGCATTGTCTATGCTTGCCTAGCTTCTTGTTTCAGCGATCAGACTGAGGTGTTGTTAATATATCATTCTTTTTTAGATCCTGTTGACTGCAAAGAGCATATACCCAAATCTCTCAAAGCTTACTCTAGCTCTAGAAAAGGTTAGTTGGCTTTTGCTTATCCTGATGGTTGTATGCATGCAGCTCGTTCTTTGCTTCTTGTATTGTAACTATGCAAAGCTCTCTTACGCTGCAGAATTTATTAGTGACCTCCACGTTGGCTGCTTGTACCGATCTGCGTCCACTAGCACCTCAAAAGCAGGATGAAACTGACAAAGAAAGTCCAAACGAGCAGGAACCATCTAACCCGGAACGAAATGGAGTCCAGCAGCCCACCGCAGCAGATGGGGATGAAATAATGGCCGAGGTCGAGACTGATGTCGGCGATGAGATGACTATTGACACGGAACCCTTCGAAGAAATGAAATAGTTGGATCGATCTCTGGAGATGAAAATTTATGCAACAATCTCAAAAATCCTAAGCAACCTCTGTATGTGCTACAACCTTATCAGTTATTTAGATTCTTATCGTTCCTTTTATAGAGCACACTTGGATTCATTACTGTCCCACATGCACGAGAGTATAAAGGGATTGTCAATAATTCAGTTGATTAGAATCATCATGTGGTTGTTCATGAATGAATTGTAGTGCATTGTGGATTCTGAGAACTCATCAGCCAAAATAGTTCATTCTGTAGCACATGACACATTTAAGATTATTGATCCAAGTTCATTATTTGTTATGCAAGGTGTTAGCATTACTGCGAAGATGCTTTAACCCTGGGGGACAACTTAACTTCGAGTGGGTGCTTCATAACAACGGTAAACTCAGGCTTCTCCGTCAGATCAACCTCCCCAGCAGCTTCCCACCTGAAGTTCCACACAAGATTAGCCACAAAGTATTCGAGATGCAGCATGGCTAGGGCATACCCAGGACACATCCTCCTTCCAGCACCAAAAGGCATCATCTTGATCTCCTTGCTTCCAGTCAAATCGAACTCACCACCTTCCAGAAACCTCTCCGGCTTGAACGCCATGGGATCCTCCCAAACCTGAGGATCCCACCCCATCTCTGCCACCATGAAGTTCACAGCAGCATTCTTGGGGATCATAAACTTGCCGTCCAGCACCGTATCCTCCGTCACGGAATGAGGGAGCACGAAATGGGCCGGCGGGTGTCTCCTCAATCCTTCCAAGCTCACTGCCCTCAGGTACTTCATCTTCCCCAACTCCTCCTCCGAAACCTCCTCACTTCCTTCCACCATGCTTTCAATCTCCCGAAACAGCTTCTCCTGAACGTCAGGGTACTTCACCAAATTCGCCATGACCCACTCCAATGCTGTGGTGGTTGTGTCAGTCCCTGCGCTGAGGAACTCGGTGGACAAGCTCAGAATCTCATCGTCGGTAAGATTTCTCTTGTTGCCACCGTCTTCAGCATCTGGTAGCTCCACTTCAAGCAATGAATCCACGTAGCAGCTCAGTGCTTGTTCTTCCTCCACCTTTCCAACTTTGTCCCTCCTAGCTCTGATGAGAGGGAGAAAAACCCGATGCTGCTCATGATGGAGTTGATGAAATTCCTTCCACTGGCGGCGGAGGAGGAATCTAGTTATTCCCGGCCAGAGGTTGAGTATCTGAAAGCGCTGCATTCCCAGCAGCATGCTCCTCTGAACTCGTCCCACCTCCTCGATCTGGCCCTCATCCAGCTTGTCACCGAAGCTCATGAGCACCAGCAGGCCGAACATGGCGTGGTGGAGGTGATCCTTCAGCCTCAGGCTGCTCTGGTGGTCCCGGAGGCGGCGGAGGAGGATGTGGAGGACCCATGAGCGGGCGCGGGAGAAGGACCTGACGCGGGAAGGGTGGAGGACTTGAGCAGTGAGGTTGCGGCGGAGAAGGCGCCATGTGAGGCCGTAGGAGGCAGCGCTGATGTTGTGCTGGTTGGAAGAGGTGATTATGGTGAGAGGTGGAGCAGGTGGTCTGTCGGCGAAAACCGCGCCATCCTGGATGAGGGCTTGATGGGCTAGGGAGTGGGAGAAGATGAAGATGGCCGGACGTGAGAAGATGCGGATTGTGACGATGGAGTGGTACTTGGCGCGGAGCTTCCTGAGTGCTGGTTCGAGGTCGGAGAATCCTTTGCTCCTCAGCATCCAGAGCAAGGTGCCGATGATTGGGATGGAGAAGGGTCCTGGTGGGAGCTTGTTGTGAGATGGGAAGAGGTGGTTTTTGCAGATCAGGAGAGCTAGGGAAGATACAAGGGAGGTGATGATGGCGACTATGATCCAGCTGATCTCCTCCATGGCTGCTCTCTGCTCGCTACCAGAATCAGAACAATATAAATAGAAAGAGATGGGAGGAGGACGTTTAAGTTTTGTCTTAGATTGTTGTTTTTTGCCCACAAATTTATATTAGAAGTATCAACGGAAACTGCTTTTGTTTAACTGTAAATTGCACCCTATAAGGGTCCAAGTTTTGTCACCTTCCATTCGGTTTCAGTCCAAAGCGGAGCGGAGTTTCTTCCTAATATGGTTAAGAGAGAAGTATTGAATTCTCATCGTCGTAATTGTCCGACTTCACGGCCACCGCGAACGAGACGAGAGGCCGACGACAATCCCGCGGGAGATGGGTGCACAACTGCACATTTAAATTTTGCGAGTGGCGCGGTCGAAGCTGACAAAGGGGAAGGAGTTGTGTCCCCTCCCCTCTACTCTAGTACTCTCCAGTTCGTTTCGAACGAAGTGAAGCCCAGACCAAGTTACAGGAGCCATGTTCATTTCAACTTCAATTCATCCCGGGAGAGGATAGTGGTAATTAGGGAAGGCAAATGGATAGTTTTTTTCTTCTCTAAACTCAAATTCAACTTAGTAGGTGCACCGTTAAAAAGATTTGGTAAAATATTCTGGTAAAATATTCATCAAATTTTAGGATTGAAAAGTTAACTCAACCAGTACCCACAGGGTGCAAGAATGCATATGAGTTCACAAACATAAATATATATTATTTTTTTGAACATCCACATCGAAATGTTGTAAAAAATTTCCTATAAATATATCTCCATAACTACTAACACTCACAATTCATCCATATTATTAGATTTTTATTATTATAAAGACTAATAATATTAATAAATTAATCATATTGTTCCGGTAATATAAAAAATGATATTGTTTTCTTTTATGAGTGTGGGTCGGGTGGAAAGCGAGTTGGATTTTGACAAAACCCAAACATAACCCGCCAATTTCAAAGCAAGTAAAACCAGCACCGACCCAAAATACGTCAACACTAGGTTTTACTTGCTTTGACTGGATTGGATTGAGTTGAGTACTGGTGCGTTTGGATTATGTTTTGACTTAGGATGCACCCTCGACCGATAACAGTAGTTAGGGGCTCCAATCCGGACTCCTATTTTGATTTTTTCAGGAGGTGAGGAACCTATGGAGAGGGGGAGGGGCATGGCCCCCATGAGAGAGTGTGGGAATGTAAGGGATCCTCTTTGCTTGGAGGGCTTGTGCCTCATTATATAGGAGTCTCAGCTTCATATAGGCTTGAGCCCGAAGTGAGACGCCTTGTAGTGCGTTTGGACTCATTGATTACGTAGTTTTTTTTTCTGTTGCATTAGACATATTAATATCGCATCCCAACAGTTATCCATTTACTTGTATTTTGTAGGAATGGAAGGAGTACCATAATGCTTTAATATGTATTAATTTGCTTTACTTGTGAGTCTAGATGATGTGTTTTTGTCCCTTGGGTGAGTTGCGTGACCATTGCCTTTGCCACTTGCTTAATTTTTTATATCTTGAGTTAGAACTCTCAAATCATATGATTTCTCCATTAACCCATTGATGTTTGCACTAGTAGGTGGTAACTGTGAGCTTATGTGTTGATTTGTTGGATCGCACGATGATCGCGAGCTTGTGTGCAAGTGCAAACATAAGTTGTTGGTTGACTATTAGGCGTTAGCTATGTGTTAGGGAGGGTGGCCCCCACGACTTGAGAGTTTGAACTCAAGACGCTTCTGTGTCTCGCCAATGCCACGCCTTCTGGGAGGCGGTAGTGGACTTATAAACTTGTCGATGTTGCGTCTTTTGAGAGAATGTTATTCATTCCTGTGGTCCGTAGTGGAGCGGGAGTCTTCGAGCCTCTCCCGAAGATTTAGTCTCACAGTATCGAGTTTTTTCAACAACGCCCCCCTCGAAGAACTCTATTGATTCTTGCTGCGCTACTTCATCTGCCTTGCCTAGCAAACTCTCATAGAAATGAGTTGCGGTTCTATTCATTCCATCTGTATCTGATACCACTTTCCATTACCATCAATCAAAGATAGAAAACATGTTTCTCTTTTGTTTCACTTTTACATACCTATGGAAGTACACAATGTTTGCATCTCCTTCTTTCAATCAAATTTCCCTAAACTTCTATCGAAGGAATGACTCTTCAACTAATCTAAGTACCTTTAGTTCACTGAAAAATAGTTTTCCTTTTCAAAAGAGTTTACAGTGTGTGTAGAGACAAAGCTTCAACTTGAGTATAAGAAGTTCAACTTCTTTTAGGTACCAAGTTGTAGATTATAAAAATTACACTAAATTATAATTTTCCAACAATAGATTAATCCACTAAGAGGTTAAATCTCCTGTCTCGCTAATAGAGTTTCGACCGATATGTTTGTGCAATATTTTGTATAAGATTGTGGCGAAGGTGATGGCGAACAGAATGAAAGGATTATTGGACATAGTGATCTCCCCGATGCAGAGTGCTTTTGTACCCGACACTTTATTACTGATAATGTTATGGCAGCGTTCGAGTGTTTCCACACGATGAAGAAGAAGGGGAAGGTGGGCTATTTCGCAACAAAAATCGACATGGCGAAGGCCTACGATCGGATCGAATGGAATTTTCTTGAAGGTGTGATGTACATGATGGGCTTTGCTGAACAATGGGTGCAATGAATTATGCTTTGTGTTTGGTCGGTCACTTACTCAGTTTCTGTGAATGGACATCAGTCGGATTCATTCGTACTGGGACGCGGACTATGACAAGGAGACCCTCTATCGCCATACCTCTTTCTTTTGTGCGTTGAGAGCCTCTTGACCTATACAAGCAAAGCGGTGCAAGAGAGCCGACTCCATGGTCTTCAACCGGCGGCAGGAGCACCTGTTATCTCCCATTCGTTCTTCGCCGATGATAGCATTTTCTATGCACGAGCTAATCGACATGAGAGTATTGTTTTGAAGAATATCTTGGACGATTACTCTCGAGAATCAGGTCAGGTGGTAAGTTTTCAAAAGTCCAAAGTTTCATTTAGTGATAATGTGTCTGCACATAACAAGCTCCTGGTTAGTGGGACGTTGGGAATGCCCATCGTGGCGAAGCACGAAAAGTATCTAGGGCTGGCCACCACGGTTGGTCGCTCATAAAAGGAGCTGTTCGCAGGACTGCTGGATCGTATTAAATCTGCTAAAAGGAAAGAGTTATGTTGGTGGCGGCCAAAGAAGTTCCGATTAAATCTGTGGCTCAAGCTCAGTTATCGTATGCTATGACCGTATTCCGCATTCCGGAAGGAACTTTGGATGAAGTACACAGTCTAATCAAAACTTTTTGGTGGGGTCAGAAGGGTGTTGAGAGGCAGGTCAGTTGGGTGAGAAGGGAAGAGATGGTTTGCTCTAAGATGGAAGGCGGGATGGGGTTTCGGGACTTGAGGGGTTCAACACGACGCTATTAGCAAAACATCTTTGGGAGTCTCTATCAACGACCACAATCCCTCATCGCTCAAATCCTTAGAGCAAAGTATCACAAGAATTTGACCCTTTTAGATGCACATCTGGGTTACAGACCCAACTTCATTTGGCAAAGCATGATGTCGGTGCAGGAGTTTCTGCTTAGTGGACTCCGGTGGAGGATTGTTAATGGTGACTCAGTTCGTATATGGGGGGATAAGTGGATTCCCAACAACCCGAAAAGTTTCATCACTTCACCTCCGTAGGGGCTACTAATGGACGCAAAGGTAAACGAGCTCATTCACTCAATCATAGAGCAATAAGATGCAGACCTATTAGAGAAGTGCTTCCCAGGCGAGCTTGTGTCAGCTATAATGCAAATACCTCTTCGTGGAATTGGGGAGAGCGATAACTTCATATGGGATAGAAGCAAGGATGGCCATTACTCGATAAAGGATGTATATCACTTTTGGCTTGAAGGTTTCAAGGCTTAACATGGAATTGCTTTGATCGGTGAGGAGGCAATGTGGAAGAGGCTTTGGTCTTTAAAGGTGGCACCCAAGATACAACACTTTCTTTGGAGATTTTCCAGGGAAGTTCTACCTACGGGAGACCATATTAGCGCCAAGAGCCAACGTCGAGAGATAAGTGCCCATTTTGTGATTTACGCGAAACACAAATCCATTTATTTGGAGAATGTGGATGGACATGCCGCATTTGGAGACCCACGCCATTAGCCTCATGTTACAGCTACACTCCAGCCCACAACAGCTTTGAATGGTTGAAGAAGGTGATGGACAAAGCTGAAGAGGATACTTTGGAGCAGTGGAGCGTATTGATGTGGTTTCTTGGAAAGAGCGAAATGCGCACCTGTTCAATGGTAAACAGCTAGCGAAAGATGAGATTGTAATCCGAGCATGGTACTAATGGAAGGATTACAAGAACAACCAAGAAAGGAAGCAGCTTGATCAGCTAGAGCTCCCTACAACGGCCTCGCAAAAGCCAGAGATAGGGAGAACAAAGATCAACACGGACGCTAGCTTTGCTGTTTCAGACGCCATGGTTTTGGGTGTGGTGATTCGAGGGGAGAATGGTTGCTTCAGGCTAGAGACTGTGAGGAAGATTGCATGAAAACTTGATGTTGAAATGGGTGAAGCTCTGGCGGCGGAACTTGGCGTACAGCTAGTAAAGAAATTCCAAATAGCGAACCCCATCCTAGAATTCGATTGTCTGGCTTTGATTCACAATTTACAAAGAGCGGTTGAAGTTCACATGGAATTGGGAGTGGTGTGTCGAAGTATTCGGCGAATGGTGAAGGAGTTGGGAAATGACTCTTGGCGACATAAACGAAGATGAGCAAATGAAGCAGCTCACCTGATGGCTCGGTCTGGGGTAAATTGCAAGTTTGGTCACTTGAATTACTAATAAATCTAAGGAAAAATTACATCTTGTTAATTGGAAGCTTTGTAAGGCGTTGAAGAAGGAAGGTGGGTTAGGTGTGCTTGATCTTCAAAGTATGAATTCAGCTCTGTTATCTAAGTGGATTTGGAAGTTCGCAGTTGATAAGGAAGCTTGGTGGAAAA